GCACATGTTCTGAAGCAAAGGAAAAATGTAAGAAAGTTAATTTTAGAAAAATATCAATTCATCCAAATACACGAAGATAATGTTTCCAATAAGTAAAATGAATGTAAACTTTCAACGCATGTGGGATTCCGCAATGTTTTATATTAATTGAAAAATGTTCTGCCCGGTATTTAGTGTATAAAGCCATCCAGAAATATAAATAAAAATTACGTAGGTACCGTAATTAATCTAATCGGAACCTAAACACATTTTTTCTAAAAGTTACCACTTGTTATCTACAAAGGATGCGATACTACCTAATTAATAAAACAAATATGTAAGTAGAAACCTAGCGATTTGATCTAGTTCGACTTAAAGAGACACATAATAAAAAAAAACAAAATAAGTATTTTGTAAACTGTTGAATACAACCGAGATTTTTTTTCTTTATAGCTTGAGAAATCAAAGAATGATAAAAGTATAAATAAAGTTTTACGCAATTTATCATATTTATAACACTACTTACCGAGTCGAGACTATTTTTAAAGTGTTATGTCATGTAAGTGAAAAATAATGATAAAAATACGATGCAAAATTGTGCCAAGTACAAATGATAGTAGTGTACCAGATAATGAAATAAATAAGTATAAATAATAAATTGGTACAATAACATACATATATGACCTGTCTCTCATGCATTATATAGATTTTGTTGTAAAATAATAACTGTTAATTACAATGACTTTCACTGATCCACTTTCAACTCCCAGTTTATACCTATAACATGTCGTTATTAATTAATAACGAAAGATTAAACATGACTTTCTAGAAGAGGTTTTTATTTCATTTTAAAAGAACTTAAAAAAATAAATATGTATAATTACTCTCATCTAACATAGACATTTAGATTAAAAAAAATAAAAATTAAAAAAATGCTGTGGGGGAAGCAGTTGTGTAAATAGTATTAGTATTTAGGTTTAACTTACTTAGAAGTCAGACTAGTGAATATATTGATATCAAGAAAAATATACCTACAGCCTGTTTCACAATTGTTGTGCCACATCGATAGAGGTTGTAGAGGGCATAAAAATAAGCAAGTTTGCGTAATAAACGGTAAATTTCCGGACAGGGGTTTATAACACAAACTTGCTTATTTTCATACCCTCTGCAACCCCTGTCGGTTTGGCACAATAATTGTGAAACACCCTGCATATTACTGATCACTTTGTTAACCTTTACTAATGAAATATCAACGATGTCTACAGATATTACATTTATCTGTATATTAAAAATTCAAATATATTACATACAAAAGTAGTAGGTATTAGTTAAAAATTATTTGGGTTTAACGAATACAGTATTTATATATTTGTGACAACAGGTATGGACTGTCAAGTTTTCCATTTAATGACATAAATAAATTAACATTTTTTAAAACTTCTGTATATTCTAAAGGCCCATACGGGTCTATTCTGTAACGCTTTTGGTAAAATTTTAACGTCAAGGCCACAGTTAAAATTTTAACCTCCCATTGTTTAACCCGATACTGTATTCTGTAAAAATTTTAATGGGTTTATTTTAACCAATATTAAAATTATATATTAAAATTTAGCGGGACCACAATAGATGTTATTGAAATTTAACCTGGCTTGACAAATGGTATAATTGATCTCTATTATTTATAAACGTTAAAATGACCCTACAAATTAAATCATTGAAGCTTTATTTGCAACCACAATTTAATGTGGCTGCAAACTGTTGTAAAATATTGTGACTTCCAAAAAGTCAACAACTGGATTTGTTTTTTTGTCGTGTTTCTTTTTTTCATCCCCCATAACTCAGCTAAATCACAAGAATCTCATAAATTGTTTACTTTATTAGTACTAATCCATCAATCGAATTTATATTATCAAAAATCGACGCCTTTTACCCATAGAAAAATATAAATTTATTCTATGCTTTTACCTTACTGCTAACTTCACTAACAGTGAAAAATTAACGTACTGTTAATAACATTATTTTAACTGGGCCTTTAAAATAACGTATACAGAATACCAGTTGGAGTTATTATTTTTAGCGGTAGGGTTAAAATTAATATTTTAATGGGATGGTTAATTTTACCCTATAAGATACAGAATACAGCTGATTATTTTAAATTAATTAGTTTAAATTAATTCAAATCGGTTTATTTTCGTCCAAGGACTCGTAATTTTTAATTTTCAGACATCCTGTATATGTAAACCTAATTGAGGCTACCAAAAATCACGTACAACCAGATGAGTTATTTGATTCTTATTGAAAGGTGCCATGCTTTCAACAAAAAGGAATGGATTACTAGTTACGAGAACGATATCATCTACAGTTTGGAGCAACAAATCAATAATATTAAATCGATCATTAACGGACTATTAGCTTACTTAATATTCATGGAGGTAAACCCGACTCAGTAATTTAATTTTCTTGAGAACAGATGGCTTATACAAAATCTGTACTAAGAAAGGACATATATATAAAATTTGAAATCAGTTATGTCAGCGTCAACAGTAAGGTTACACAGTAAACTGTGAGAAAAAATGGCAGGTCTCTCGAATTACACTCTCAACTTCTAAATGTCGAATACAATGTCGAAACAGATTATACCATTCATAGTAGGTATAGTGAAAGAATGCAAAATATGGCTTATTTTGGGAACTGTTACCTTACCCCCTCATTTTCGAGGATACTGATCACGAATAAGATGGTTAGAATATTATATTCGTGGTTAAACACCATCGAAAAGATCAGCACTTTAGAAAACGGGTCAGAACGAAAGTTAAGGGTAGTTTTGGGCCGTTCGAGAGGGTTGCGGGAGCGGAAGAGGTTAATGATCATCATATTCCTGGCCATATAATTAAGCTTCTAAAACGTAGGGAGTTCATCGCTGAAGCCCAAAATAAAAAAAGGGTGGTTTTTTGGGCAATTGTGGGAGATGCGCAGGGTTAGAAATTCAACGCACCTCAAATTCGGATTCAGCACCCTCGAATCCTGGGCGGGGATTAGTTTCGTAGCTGCAGCTCTCTTCGACAGATTTCACTACACTGTCAGAAGATACTACAGACATATAAATATCTAGGAGGCGTTTTTAGAACCGACACTTAAAGTGTCAGTTTATCACATTTCGCACCGAGTGTTGAACCGACCTGTCCTGACTTGGATATGCAATAAATTAATGTCTTACTCGATGGATATGATGTGACTACTGGTTAAGACCGGATATTTAATACACAGGGTGTTTCTGAAATAAGTGCGTTCCTTGAAAAGGGTGATAGAGGGCATGAAAATGAGCAACTTTTATCAAGCAACTGATGGTCTAAACTAAATGCTTCTGTATTCGAGAATATTAATTAAGAAAATTAATCATACATGTGAGCCGCCCCTATGCATCTTGTGCACGTGCGTCATGTGTTGCTGTATAGTATTACTTAGCCGGCGTATAAAATGTTTTCTGATCAAGAACTAGCAGATACGGTGTTAATGTACGGAGAATGTCAGTACAATTTAAATTAGACTTGTCGTTTGTATGCAGTCCGTTACTGTAACAGACGGAAATTTAACAGTAGAACAGTGCAAAAGGCAGTTCAAAGGTTACAGGATACCGGGAATGTCCACCTGACATATGAAGGCCGCAAGGTGTTTTCGACAACGAAGAAAACATCATAAACCTCGTTGGCGAAGATTCGAGGCGCAGTATTCGCCACATTTGCGAAGAAGTGGATGTATCTAATAGCACCGTGTGACGTGTACTACGGAAACAATTATAACAACCCTATCACGTACCAAGGGTTCAGGCATTAAATAACAATGATTTTTTCAGCCCCGTTTCGGCATCAAATAGGACAAGATCCGGATTTTCGGTGTGATGTTTTTGTAACACAATTTTGACCGTCGTTTAGAACCATGTTTATTAGCACACGGAAACAACTTTGAACAACCTTTGTAGAGCAAATCGTCTATTAGTTTATTCCTTTAATTTTTCTGTTACTTTTAAACAATTATTGAATAAATTTCAGCATTTTTGAACACAAAATTTAAACTGTTAAAACCGCCATCAGCGCTTTCGCATTACGGCGCGCGGCAGCTTGGACATCATTACAGCTGGCTGTCGTACCAGAGACGGCCTTAATTTTGTTTAAACCTTCATGTGAATTTTTTTTCAATTTAAAAGGTAATATTTTAGATCATCAGTTGCTTAATAAAAGTTACTTATTTTCGTACCCTCTATCACCTTTTTCAAGGAACGCACTTATATCAGAAACACCCTGTATATTGTATATGATCATAATAGTTAAAATTTTGATATTACTTTTAAAACGCCTAAAAATTTCTGAAATAGAATTGATTGCATTTTCAAATATAGATAAAACTACAACTCCAAAAAATAATCAAATAAACGCCAAAAAGAATGAGTCAAGTTTGTTTTTATAAAACTTTTTTAAATCAAATTAATATACTAACTCTGAAAAAAAGATAAAAGATAGCTCACACACTTCAGTTAGTTATTTTTCGAAAATGAATCTGTTTTCGTTTTCAAAATTAGGAAAGACAATTCTTTTTCAATAACCATCAAGAAAAAAATGTCATTTCTAGTTTCAAAAACCAAAACAGATTGATTTTCGAAAGTTAATTAATAATTGAATTTAGTAATGTATATTCTTTATTTATTTACATTTGGTCGTAAGACCAATCCTTGACTCATCCTTCGGGTACAACGGTAATTTTTTTTATTTTTTTCCCGCTCCCCCGCCCCCGTCTTGGATTCTGGGACCCCCATGATTCCAATACAACTTTAATATTATGGTCACAGACATTATTTCAATTTACACCAATACATTTGCAAACAAAATGTTCTCCAACTTTTGAACTTGCACCATAAATAAAATGTTAATGACAAAATCCAATTACAAAAAAAGTTACGTTAGAGGAACATAAATTATTCATGACTGAAGTGCATAGCTTTGTCCAACTGAATTATTAATGCTCACCTTATAATTACTGCTCTGTATCCACGGTAAGAGCCCGTCAATGAACTGTCCGATATCCTGACAAACGATGGGGTTGGATGGCTCAGCCAAGAACGTCAGAAGGTCTGCCCCTACTTGCTGGCGGAAGCGGGTGTCCGCCTTCGACAAATGAGGCATAAACCCATCTAGGTCCCTGGGGCAAGTGTACGCCATTCTGGCTCAACTGAAAAAAAAAAGAAGAGAATCACGATACATTAAAGACATTTTTATTATGGAAAAAATATCCTAAACAATTGACACCGCTGCAATCGAACTTCGAAAACGCACTGTTTATTTTTGTCTTACACATACATACCTACATATTATGTATAAGCGAGTGATGGAATTCTGGTAATACCACGTATGATGGATTTGGTTGTGCCGTGCTGTCTTCTTTGGAAATACAAACATAGTAAATACAGAAGGGTCTAAATTTATTTACTTGATTAACTTAAACAGTAGCGACTATCCTCGTGACGTCAAAACTGTGTAGTTGCCACTTCTGTATCATAACAAAGAGCCTCAACTTGCGCTGATTCTTTGTGTATTTTAATCCTGATCGATTTCTTTTCTCGTTCCATTGATGATTAACAATTTCGATTCGAGTTTCGATTAGTTCTATCGTAGTTATAAATCCGCATTTACAGAGCTTTCATAAATGATTACAAGCCACTTGACCTGTAATTTTGTTTGGAACAGTAATTTTATTACCTTCATGCTGGCAATTAAACTTACCGGCTGCCGATCGGTAAAACAACGCTAGTGTGTAAGAGCCCTAACAGTTGTTTTCTGATTTCAAAGGGTGTTTTTCGATTTAAAATAAATATAAGTATCTAATTCCCGACAACTGTTTTTGAATGCTATGGTAGATGTAGACGAAACGTACTAAAATTTAACATATGTATTAAAATTTTGTTACTAATATTTTTCCCAAACAGTTCTTAATATAAATTGATTTATTTTTCCAACGACAAAGCAGCGATCCAATTGATTCAGTTTCCGAAAAGCCCTTAAGCTAATTTTTAAGTGAAATTAAATTATACATTTTTATCTAACCAGTGTTTATTTGCCTGACGATGGTAAACCAAATGTAGTATACGTGACAAGCATTAAATCAGAAAAGACAGTAGACCAACTTTAAAATTTTAATTGTCATAACTTGCAGCAGATTTCTGTAAATTTGAAATGAAAATAATCTTTCTGCTGTTTTTATATGTATATTTTTTTACTATTAGTTTTCTAATAAATTTTACATTTTATGAATACGAAACAACGTACAATAGCGGTAAAGTATCTGAGGATTATAAAAATAATAATTTTTGAATCTTATTCAATAGTAAGTTTCCGAGATATGAAAAATTAAGTTTATTTTTTTTTTACTTTGACACCTTGTTGGAAACGAAACGTCTGTCCACAAATTTTGATATGAATTGTCTCTAATTTTACTTTCAGAATGTAGTGGTGAAATTTAGTACTTTCAGTAAAAATGGAATAAAGTTTGTTTTTAGACGGAATGGTTCGCTAAATTTATGTTGCCAAACCATCCCTATTTAAAAAAATAATAATAAGCGTGACAAAAAAATTTGAATGAAAAAAATATAAGAGCGGCAAGAAAACAGTTTTCGTCATTCGTTTTTATATAAAATTAAGATGCCAACAACCCCAATTTTAAAAAAAAATATATTAGCGTGGAAAATTTTTAAGCGTGATCGCAAATGTTCCCTTTTTATATAAGTAAAGTTAGGAATCCACTCCTCACTTTTTTAAAATATAAGCGCAACAAAAGACAGTTTCACAGTAAAATGTCAAATTCAACGCAAACGAGCACCTAGTCAAAATTTTAAAATTAATCTACTAACTCGATGTGTCTTTCTGCAAAAATCTTCTAAATCCGTGAGCTCAAAGAAAGCGCACAAAGCGTTTCGAGTTTAGCTTCTGTAATGTAAAATTACTCGTCGCCATTTTAACAGCAATTGAAATTGAATTAAAAATAATAAAATATTATTTTATAAAACGAGCTTTGTCATTTCTTTTCAATCAAATTCACAATAACACACTACCCCAAGTAGTAGATTCTACGACTTCTTGAATGTCCTGAATCGAGTCCTGAATTTTTTCGAAATGCATAACTATCAAGTAAAATATACGTGCTGTGTGGAAAGCCATTTTAAAAACTTACTTGTGTAAAATATAGTTCTATTTATAGTTCCATTGCTAATTGTAACACGACAAAGCGAAACAGAAATTCGTATAGAAAATCCCTATCACTTGTCCATCGAAATCACGTCACAGCTAGCGCCTTATATATTATATTTTCCGGTGACAGCGCCGCGCCGGAATACGATTCTGTCAAGATATCTACTAATAGAATTGAACAAATGAAATACATTTAAACCATTTTAACGTAATCATAATTTTCAATACCTAATGTAAAACAAGGAATTTTAAATTATTAAAGCGAGCAAAGTGAAAAGAAATTACATATTAATGTAGGTAACGAAAAAAATGTAAAATATAAACAAGAAAACATTATACAGGCTGTTACAAATTCGATTCTCACTACAGGGATCTCGGAAACGGTAAGAGATACGAAGTAGTTTAAATGGGAGAAAAGTTGCATAATCAGGAGACCAACATTATGCCTCTAAAAAATCAATCATGATTTTCGAAATATTTGAAAAAAACCGAAATTTTGGTAATCCGTTTTTGTTTCATTTCAGTCTTGTTTGAGGTGATATTGAAAAAAAGAACACTTTCTCATGGCAACTTTTTACCCTCTATCGAATGGCATAAAGCTACTTCGTATCTTTTACCGTTTTCGAGATCGCTGTAGAGAGAAGCGAATTTGTAACAGCCTGTATACCCACAGCTAGAAATGATTCAGATATCAATTCAAATGTATTTTATTAAGTAAATCTTGTTTATTTATTCTCCAAGAATATTAAACCCACATTCACCTTATTTTACAATATCATATTTTACTAAACATTAAATTTGTTCTTTACATACACATAACAATAATATAAAATGACTTCTATGGATTTTCCCATGGGTACTTCTCCCTTAACATATAACAGTATTATTTATTGACCAGTATATTGGTAATTTAACGGAAAACGCGTGGGAAAACAATATTATTTAAAAAAATTACCTACTTTTACAAAAGCAACAAGAACCCGTTAACACCTATATATTTATTTTCACAGGTATGAAAAATGAATTTAATTTTTCCGAGAATTTTTCATATATGTACTTACCTACATTCTATTATGCAGATATTCCTCGAGATATTCTAATCACAAATTATAACATCGATTATTTTTCTATTGGTGGTAGAGATGCATTCATTTACCTATATATTTTACTTTAAAGTTAAATTTAAAGTAAAATAATGTAGCCATTATCTCATCAATGTTACAGTCATATTTCAGTAAATCAGTGGTAGAAACTTCAAACACTACTATGTATAATACCAACATTAACATTTTACTTTTTTTTATTTCATTCTAACTATAGTATGATTATAAATTGGTTAATTGGTAGGATTGACAAAGACTTTAGTAAATCTTTATGCAAAAAGATTACAGTTATTTTGTTAATGATATGATATTGTTTTAATCTACTATATAATTCCATTAACTATAAATAAATAGCAATTAAAAATATATACAGGTTGTTACAAAATTCGCGGACACAGACTGTGGAATCATATTTAGCCAGATAAGGTGATAAAAAAGTGTCTTTATGATTTTTCAATCAGACCAGTATTTTTCGAGATATAGCAGTATCAAATATCCAAAAATAATAAAAATATATATTTATAAATTTCAATTTTAAATCATTAGATCATCAGCATATCATACTATTCACGATTTGAATAATTGTGGCCTATTATTTTGCAGTTTGTATTGACAGGTACTTTTACTGTACTCTAACGATGTCAAAGTACCTATATATTGATAAATGCTTTCTGAATTGTCATTCATTGTTATAAAGCTGTATGTTTCAAACAATACAACAAATAACGCCAGAGATGGTAAGTACACAATGTGCTGAAGCATATTTAGCAGCAGGTGGTGGAAATTTTGAACAATTCGATTGCCATAATTGTTTATCAAATGAGTAAAAATTGAAAATTTTTATTATTTTTGGATATTTAAAACTGCCGTATCTCGAAAAATATCGGTCTGATTGAAAAATGATAAGAGACAAATTTTTTTATGACCTTAACATGATCCGAGAGTCCGTGTCCGCGAATTTCGTAACACCCTGTATAAAAGAGTTAACTTCTATTTTCAGGCACCTCTTTTTTTATGTGTCTTGAATTTATGTACTATGTCCAAATTCTGAAATGAATTTTAATTCACTACCTATCAATATTAATGCAATATTTAATTAATCAAATGTATAAGGTACTTAAAAAATTAAGTGAAGGAAAAAACTTGATTCCAAAAATGTCTGTAATTTATTATACATATTTGTGCATTTAACAAAAAGTCAGATATCTTACTGGAAAAAATTCTCACACGTCAATTTTTATTTTTAATTTTCTATTTTTTAATGATTCTATGTATACAGGAGGATGATCTGATTTACTGGAATAGTTTAAAAAAGATCTAAAGGAGAAAGTTTAATGTGTAGGTTAGTTGAAAACTTCTTTAAGTAGGCTCTTAGGAAACAGTATAAAAACGATAACTTTCCATTTAAAAAAATCATCACAGCTCTAATACAGATCGCTCTGTAGAAATGAAATTACATATTATGTATATGAAAAATAGGCAATCACAATAATTAAAGGATTCCAGATTTTCTCAAAAACATTACTCGGTTTTGACCTTCGTTTACAGGCACGCTATATTACTTATTATTTGTTACCTAGTGAGCTTGTTACTATTCATGAGAAAAGAAAACGCATAAACCGATGAAAAAGTTAACTGGAGGAAAATTGTAACAAAAAAAAACAAACAAAATATTTATTAAAATTAAAGAACATTAATATACTGTTAACTGCGTATTTCTAGTATAATAATAATTTATTCTTGAATTTATTATTTAGATAATATTCTAAACATTTTTGTTCGTTACATCTCAAGTAATCGCCATTATTTTGTAAAACAAGCTTCGTCATTATTTCTTTTCAATCAAATTCGCAATAACACACTGCCTTCGCACGTATCTAATTTATAGTAGATTCTAAGACTTTTTTAATAATATCCTGAATTTCTCTGAAATAGTAGGTAATGTGCATGACTATCAAGCAAAATATTCTTCAATTTATTATTTAGATAATATTCTAAACATTGTTGTTCATTACAACTCAAGCACTTCTGAAAGTACTGTTTCAATTCAGGAGACCCTAAAAAACTGGGCGACTTTCCGCAAGGTATTTTGCAAAGAAATGTAAAGTAGATTAATAAATAACTGAGTAAATACTATAAGTATATTGAATAATAATGAAATAAGCAAGATCACTTAATGAAAACCTTAAGATAACTGCGTTTTACTAGTAGCGTTGAGTATACTATTTCCCACTCAACGCTAGTAGGTAGTATCACATATTAGTTAGTAATATGTGGACTACCACATATTACTAGGTACTACCTAGCCACATAAGTACATAATATTCCTGGAATCCTTTGCTAACAAAGATGATAGAATAAGAGTGGTACATGTATCAAAATTTAAGAAATTTTTATCATTAGTCTTAACAATATTATTATCCTGTGATAGGTACCTACCTAACTACTTTTAATCATAAATTTATGAGTAAGTATCACGATTTTGTTTTACCTTGTAACTATTATTGATATAATTCTGTTACCTGCAACTCAATTTAGAATTAAGTACCTAGGCACATTACAAGGTATAACTGATACCGATAAGACATTAAATATATAAACATTTTAATATAACTAAGTAGATATTTTTATGCATTATCAAGACCAAGATTCCTGTAAGACTTTAACTGCCAATAATATAATATAAAGTTGCAAATCACATTTAACAAAATTATCATTTATACTCACATTCCCATCATTTTGTAAAAAAAGCAACTTTACAAACTGAAAACATTTTAATCCCAACTTTGCATATAAGGACTGTCCTTCAAAAAGAATAGAACTTAAGATTAGTTATAAATTCTGTAACATTCGTCAGCTGATGTTTAATCTCTACTTAAAATATTAAAAAGAATATAAGACATTTATCAGGTTGAAGTATATAATTGAAGAGAAAACAGAAAATGCAAGAAGTAATTGACACAATTTGCACAGTATTTGCCAAAATAGGAAGACTAAGAACAGCATAACAAATTATACTCACGTTTATATAATAAAAACTATCATGGACCACACTTCACCAAATTTACCACTTACACTAAACAACAGTATATTATTGTTAATTTTTTACACTAATAACTATTTTTGACAAAATTCACGCAGCCATGTTCTTGTCACAACACGTCAGTTTGCCGCACAACCATTTGGGAAGAGACCAATAAATTCGTTTGTGCTTTTACCGATAATAAAGGCTTTCAATGCTTCTGCCATCTAACGGTTAAAGTTGAAATTGAAAAATTGCATTGCAGGAGCACGGCTCTACTCTAATTTCTAAATATCATTTATCAGTCATGTGATGTGCATCCATGTCGATGATTGTAACTGGTATTATTTTATTATTAGAAACTTAAAAATAATATATTGCTAAATTCTTCACTTTACAATAGGGTTAGGAAAACATATAAACTTTCTTTTGCAAACGATGCAGGGACTCAATAAAAGATGGTGCAGGATGCAGGTATCCACATTTAACAGAAAACTTTATTACCATACCGATTCTATATGCAAAATTGCAAAATTCTAATTATAGGTTATGTTTAGTACAAAATGTTAATCAATAGTCAATGATAAATGGGTTAGGAGTTTGTGAAAATTGACACAAAGTGCTTTGATTACTTACTATCTGTCCTTTTTATTTTTATGGATTAAAGAATGCACAAGTTAATTTTCGTAACTGCTAATGATAAAAAATATACCTATATCAGAAAAATGTTTTTATTATAGATATAAATCTTACAAAAAAATATTAAATTTTTAATTTTTGTAGTTTGCTATTTCCCAATTAGTTTGGATCTCAAGAGGGCCTTCTACTTTAATTCCATCATCTTTGTCAATAATTCCTAATAAATATTTATTGTAACTTCTGGCATCTCTGTAAAATAGAACTTCCATTGCTTTTTCAACCAGCTGCCTGGCCTCTGCCTGCGAAGGATTGGGATTCCTGTCCAAATAATCCCTAAGCATGGGAGTAGCAATGTGGGCTCCGTAACCTGTACAGATGATTTTATCTGTATATGCCGTGCCCAGTTTATCCACTGTTCCAAGAAAGATTTCTCCATCCTGCAAATATTTATAGTGGATTTTATTTCCGTATTGAAATTAAAAAAAAAATTAATGGACTAAACAGTTTTATATTAGCTGTATATTTATTATAGCCGGCTTTGCAAACTTTTACCTGTATTCCTCCAACAACAATATTATTCCAAAAAGGATCAAATTTACTTCTACGGTGGTACATAACTCTTGTTAACCAACAATATAAAGATCTTGGTTTAAGCTTCACCCCATCATCTACACAGTCCTCTGTTATACTGCAAGAAAAATCAAATTGGCAGTTATTTATAGAATTTATAAGAATCGAAAACATAGTTTATAATACCCGTTTTAAATTAGAAATTACAGTGACATTTTGAACTTACATTTTTTGTTCAACAAAGTCTTTGATGTACTGGAAATCACCATAATCTCCTCCTGCTCCTAAAATAATGTTTTCATTAATTTTCAAAATTCTTGGACAATTTCTGTAACGGGCCAAGGATCCATAGGAACCCAAAAGATCACCAGCTATGATTACTCCATTATTATAGGCTACTGCCACAATTGAAGTAGCTGTTGTCACTGGAGCCCTACAAATAACGCATTTTTAATAAGTTTTTGAGTAAAAATTTGCAGGTCATCATTATAGATAGGTTAACTTACTGAGAATGACTGACAAAATCATCAGGCCTAGTTTGCAAATCAGGGAAATTGTAGAATGATCCTGGTGTGGGTCCATTTGACCACAATGGGGGAGCCGGTGATGTAAAACCGAACATGCTTAATTATTTAAAGAATTTAATTGCAACAAAATTAACGCTGTGATTAACACTAACTTCTGTCACCAAAACTTGACGGCAAAATACAGTTGTGTTGTGTTGTGAAGTTATTTTAACAGCGCTACCAATAGTCGAAAATGACAAATATCAAGTTTAAAATTAAGTTGGTAATGACGAATACAGAACCGTACTTAGACTTTTACACTTTCATATAATTTAATGGAAATCAAAGGTGTATATTTGATTAATAAAGATACAAAATTGACAAACTAATCATGTTACTTTTATATTTCATTGATACGTTTAAGTTATTTATGAATTTTATTTACTTTTATATTTCATATTTTTATTATTTGTGATAAAATAAAAATATAGTTACCTAGTGCTATTTGTGTGTGGTAAAAGAAATAAAACATAAAGCTATGGTTTTTAAGACTTTATGCCGACTTTCATCGCTGTCAGAATATACTAGGGCTTACACTATCGGCAGTCTCATTATTAACAAATTGTAAAATTTCTAATACCTTTAGAATTACATCATGTAATTCTAATTTACATCCGAGGCACATGTATGTAGGAATATATATGATATGTGTCATTTAAAGGATTATTCATTGGTTAAATTACTCAAATTTCATCTTCACAAAAATAATTAACTTTAAATGCGCTATAATTTTGCATAATACTCAAGATTTGTTTATATTTGCCTTCATTAAGTGCAAGCTATTTCTGCCAGAGGGCGAGTTGAATTAGGAATAATATTCTACAACAGGTTGAGCTCGTAAAAAAGTGTTTTATGTAATTTGTACTCTCAACTGCACTAACGCCTTTATTACTGAATATCAACGTTATTAGGCTCAGGTTTCTACTTTTTAATATAGAGGAAACTGTTTTCTACAGAGTTTTCATAAATGGTTACAAGCTACGTGACCGCCGCTTGGCAACCAACATAGCACGATTGGAAAAAATCCCTAAATCTTAGCGTCATTAATGTTAGTGATTCGTTTACAATGATTAACGAACTGTTGAGTCTACGTTCGATTTAATGCGATCGCCAGTTGGTTGGATAAAATGTCATGAAAAATTACACCAATCATCAGCCGGTGAAATAGAATATTGTGTTTTATTGTAACCTCGACCTTTTTGTTTTAATAATATTTGATTTAAAGAATTAGAAGATGGAATTAAAATTCTGGTAACGTGGCTTGTAATTATTTATAAAGACTCTATATTTATTATATCAATCTATCTGAATGCCCATTAATATCTCTCAGGTGGGTTCAACTGATATCTGCGGAAACGAACTTTAATTAATTTTAATAAATATGTCAACGATAGATGGAAGGGTACAAAAACAAGAGTATGACGTTTACATTTGCACTCAGCTTTAGATTCTAAACAAAAATGAGTTAGGAACTTTATTATACATTTTGTGTTAAAAACCGTACAATTTTATATATGTACATATAATTGTTTTTAACTCGAAGAAAAATGTTGTAATTTTTATTTGGATACCTAGTGTTTATTGTTATTTGTGATTAATTGCACTGTTGACATCTCAGAAATTAAACTAGTAATAAGGTAAAATAAATTATTTAACTGAAAAATTAATATTATTTTACAAATTAAGTTATGCCCGCCCTATCTTTAGATAAGAAATACTTCAAACCTGCAATTCTCTTGTTACGGACCAGAAAATTATTTACTCGAGAACGAGAACTGTAAAATCAGTAAAATCACCAGAGTGTCTGCGACTACAGTGTTTAATTTGATAAAAAATGATCCATGCTGTGATGTGTTTACATTTGTTATCGTTATTAGTGAGTAAAGTATAAACTTTCTACAGCAGATTAATATGAAATCTGTATGTGACAACTTACAAAGTGTATTTAAAAAATGACAACTATTCGGTTAATTCATTCAGGAATATGTGCCTTTTTCGGTTATTCAGCGTTTTTTGCATTTATCGTTTTGAAAAATTATCCTTCAGCTGTTTTAGGATTAATTTCAGGTGATTTTTTTCTTTTCTGATACAATTACATATTTTCAATATTTTAGTAACTGAAATAAAAAAAAATCGCCCAACGTGGGGCTCGAACCCACGACCCTGAGATTAAGAGTCTCATGCTCTACCGACTGAGCTAGCCGGGCTTGTATGAAATATTTTCTTTGTACGTAAAACACAATCCAATGTATTTTACTAAACAATATTTTTATTTTATATAATTATTTTGGATAAAATATTTACCGTCTTAAAATACGATCCTTGCGAAATTTCGATTAAATTTCATGTGCGATAATATATTTTCTGATTTCTGAATCTGATTATTTTTTGCAAATCGTAGATAATTTTATCTGCTCTCAGTTCTGTATAAAAAAATTACACAAGGGGGAGAAACTTTAGCTCTCTGTCAAATAATCCTGTGGGGTTAATTTTACCAACCAAGCTTCATTAAAAGGTGTGATTCATTTCTTTGTTATCTTCATTCGTTCACGAAAATTGGGTTTTTTGAAGAAAATTTTGCAGATGTTGAATATATATTTCAAAATGGTGACTGCAGCAGTTTGACTTAAAATTATATGAGACTTTTTTAATATTTTCTTTAAAATATCAAATTCCGAATGTCTTGAACGAGTACAGATAACAATATTAAAAGAAAACGTTTTTTAATTATTATTATTTAAGCTTATTTACAATTAGTAAATTTAACACTACAGAATTCTAACTACAGTGTTTTGCAGCTGAGGAAAAAAATGAGAACATTTAATTTTTCTGTAAGCTGCAAATTGTAAATTCCTGTTTCAAGACTCAAACCGTGGATTTAAAAATTGATAATTTTATTTACTACACACAAAAAAATTATTTATCGTTCATTAAACTTGATCGAAATTTGCATAGATTGTCGGTGAGTGTATTTTTCATTTTTATTTCATTACAGATAAATGTCATTAAAGTTCAAATATACATGATTCATTAATGATTTACCTTCCTGTTTCAATAATAATAAGCCTTATGAATAGACAATTGGTTAATAGTGTCAGTAACGTATTTTTCTATTTTACACCATTTAGAATTAAATTAATAAGTACATGACTTTTCGACTATATTATAAACATTAAAATGTATTTAAGATAAATATAAAGAAGATAGGATAGGTAAAAATGGTCATATAGCATTGAATGTGCTCCTTTTATTGAAAGGCAATAATTTTCAGCAACAATATATTCTAAGCCAATTTAATAAATTTATTTTTATTAATTCTTTTTTACTTGTTTCCTTATAACAAGCAAACATTAAGATTAAAGGATTTTATTAAAAACCGGATGTTATAAAAGTATTAGAGATGAAAAACTTCCATCATTTTCCATTTGTTCTTTTCATGAACAACTACCATAGTTCCTTATTATTTTTTTAATATTTGATATAATTCATTAACATTTTTAATATTTTAGTTATTCTATATTATTGGCATTCACAGAATTTCTTTTATGTAGTTATTTTCTATATTTTCACTTTTTTTCTCCGTAGGATCTTTAAACTGATTTAGATTAGATGATTAGATTAGATTAAATGTTTTATTTTGTTTTGAGACAATTACAAATTGTATAACAATAGTCAGTTGTGCGTATAGCAGATATTTATAGTAAAAACAAATGCAACTTAACTTAGGAAGCAGAAAACTCACCCAAGGAATTTCGTCACTAAATATAATTTTAACTTTACTTTAAATTGATAAAAATATACATTATCTTGTCTTAATTCAATAGGATAGGTAATTTATTAAAACTTTTAAGCCCCAAATAATTTGGTAATTGGCAATTTAGAAAAAGGTACCCGAATATTATTTTTATGCCTTGTATTTACACCATGTATGTCCATACTTAATTAAAATTTTTGCCTATTTTTATAAACATAAATACACATATCAAATATAAATAACGAACTTAAAGTTAAAATTTTGTACTGTTTAAAAATATCTACAGATGTATTCACTGGGTGCACCAGCAATATTGCGAAAAATACGCTTCTGTGAAATAAAAATATAATGTGAAAGGGTGGATTCGCCCCAGAAACAGACACCATAACGAGGATACGATTTTACTTGAGCGTAACATAAATTAATTGATTTTTGACTAAAATTGTTTTCATGTTTTTAAATAAAAATTTACTGAACTCAAGGTGGAAACGAGATGATTACAATGCACTTTCCAATTAAGGGAAATTTAACACTGCCTAAAGCGTCATTCTCAATAATACTGATACAGTTATTAATTTTTATTCTTAGGTCGTCACATTTTCTCTGACTGTTATGAAATCTCATCGTTTGCGTTTTATTTACATTTAAATATAAATAGTTCTGATTAAACCATGCACACATATTTTCAATCGTTTTATTAATATCGATATTAAAATTTTTATCCGAGTTACTTAAAATAACCAAAGATAAATCGTCGGCATACCTACATGGTAAAAGCTTCGTTACCTATAACATTTTCTATTGAATTGACATATAAAAAGCACAGGTCCCAGAACAGAGCCCTGCGGTACTCCCATTTCAATTAAGCTATAGTCAGAATTATTGATCTCATTCAAAGTATCGGATTTAATGTGTTGTTTCCGAAAATTAAAAAAAGTTACTAAAAAATATAAAATTTAAAAATCTTTAAATGTATTTTATTGTGTTTTATAATATTATATGTAACTACCTATTACCTACTACAATTCTGTTTTTCTCTTATAGGTTTTACAGATAGTATTTTATTCTTTCTTCATTATTTGTTACGTAAAAGAACATTGAGAGAATGGTATGGACCCACAGATTTACGGACAATGTGCCGATATGGCATCTTAATTGCTACAGTTGGATTATTATCTCTAGGATATCATACGACCATTCAAATAATATATAAAAAATGTAAGTAGTATGTACTGCACTGCGATAATCCAGGCTTCCATGACAATCAGATAATTATTTTAAATTTGTTTTCAAATTCTTGCAAAAATATGTGTTATTTTTTGTATATTGTAATATGTAGGTATATTTTCTCAGAACAGTAGCAATGTTTTTGAATTTGACAAGTATAGACTTTACTAGCAGTTATTTGCAAAAAATATTTAAAGGTTTATTTACAAAAATAATGCACTATTAAGAATAGGCTAACTTTCAACTCCTATAAATTCACGCCGTTTTGTGTTTTTATTATTTAGGAAAGTTTTATTTAATAAAAATTACAGTGACTATACAAGAGTATATCTTGTATAGAGCCACTGTAATAAAAATAAAGCAGTTCCAGTTATATAACCAATGTCACAAAATTTTATAAGAAGTCTAATCATCTAGAAAGATAAAATACATTTTGACTATTGCTTCATTTATTTATTATTTTGTCATATTTGTACATTTATTAAGTACATTATTTTTAAAAATATCAGTAAAAAAGTATCTCAAACATAAAGTTGGTATTTTATATTTGACGAATGTAATATGTGTTGCGAAAATGAAAAACACGGTATATGTTTGCATTTAGGATTACGTATTTTACTGTAACCGTTGGGACATACATTTATTTTCATAGAATTGTCTGTAAATACCCTGAGTAAATCCCCTTCCTTACTGTGATTGTACATCCTACTCCTACGTGGATCTTTGTACTTTTTATTTTTTTAACAAGGAAGTGACACACAGTTATAGCTACTGATTGTAGAACTAAAACACGTTATACTATTCCTAAACTTATACAGGGCGTTATTAATACAAAAAGTTCAAACAAACAATAAACTATATAGGAATTGTCTCGGATCCTTACAGAGATATAGCAGTTGAGGGAAAGTATCATATTTACACGATGCAGTCGCATTTTCCTATTCTGTTGAAAAATGCAAGTTACAACTTTGTATCTTAAAGGGATGACAAAATTATTGTGCTTGAACATTTTAATAAAGAACACGGACTACTGCCAAAAGAAAAATATAAAAAAGCTGTAATGTTCATCTTCAGATCTAAATAAACTTCATACACACTGATTAAAGTCTGTAATGAGTTGCAGGTACTCAAATTCAAATAATAATAAAAAATAACGTTTATACAGGGTCTCCGGAAACTAAATCGACAAACGAAGATAGTAAATTTTAGAGATGATTTCACATCGATATATCAATATTTTTTTCATATTTAGTACATAAATATCAAATGAAACATAAATAAACTAAAAATTACTTAAACATTTTGTGTCAATAAATTATTATTTTTTCAGCTATTTTACCCATACCAGACAGTAGCGTTATTTCGATAGTATGGTCGATTGTAGCTTTGAGAAGTGGACTCTTTTTGATGTATTATTCAATTAAGTATCAACATATAGACGATGTAAGGTTACTTACTAATGTGGATGAGGAAACCAATAATGCAGAAAACTCTCCAGAACAAGAAGAAGCGGTACAGGAATCGGATAACAATTAAACTATTACAGCATTAATTCATATGATGGTGCCATCAGCTTACGCACAAATGCGTATATTTTAAGTTATATCTTGTATTTGATAAACGTATACATATTCATATATAAAAGTCAACTGATTTGTTATACTTATCGTTTGTAATTCCTTTTAAAATATAAATCTTTACAAAACGCACTGACATTAATTCATTTCCACTAAGAAAGCAAAAATATAAATAATTTACCCTTATTTGCACCCTTATTTTTACTAAAGCGATGAAGGAAACTGCTTTAGATCATTATTCGTGTGTAATTTAATGCATTCAAAATTCTTTAGAAACATTCAGTTCTGAAAACAAAAAAAAAGATAAAACAATTTATTTTAACTATAAAATAAATCGTGATTTGTAATTTTAAAAAATAATTTTGAAATAACTGCTAAACTTTTTGCCAATGTTAAATACGAGCAAATGCTTTTGTATTGCGAACTATACAGTGGTTTCGAAAAGTAACGAATAAATTCATTATTTTTTAAATTGAGAAGTTTTCGAAAAAATCCCCTGGCACGTCGATATTGTTTTTAAAAAAGGCACTTTTTGACATACGACCCATATTTGTGACGTCATCGTTGTTCGAGATATGACGTCATCGACAATTTTTTTAAATAGCAACCCCCAATTTTGACCATGCCATTTGAAAGAGCGTGTCATTCTACATACACAGATCATGAAAAATTATGGTGTTACATAACAAAAATTTCAAGAAAATAATGTTTGAAGATTTTAAAATTTAATTTTCACAATACTGAAAATGATAATGATTATGTAAAAATCGACTAAATGGTGCACCTCCCCATTATGCAACACCTGTCCGTGCTTATTTAGATGAGCTGTTCCCGAATCGTTGGATAGGGAGAAGGGGGCCGATTGAGTGGCCAGCCAGATCGCCTGATTTGACACCCCTAGATTATTTCTTGTGGGGATACTTAAAAAGCAAAGTATACGTTACTAGACCGGTTAATTTAGAAGATTTAAAAGCAAGAATTCGTCACGAGATACATCGTATACCTCCTGAAGTTATTGATAATGTCCAAAAAGAATTTATTAATCGTCTTGGCTACTGTCAGGCAGCCAACGGTGCACAATTTGAACATTTAATTTAGTCGATTTTTACATAATCATTATCATTTTCAGTATTGTGAAAATTAAATTTTAAAATCTTCAAACATTATTTTCTTGAAATTTTTGTTATGTAACACCATAATTTTTCATGATCTGTGTATGTAGAATTACACGCTCCTTCAAACGGCATGGTCAAATTTGTGGGTTGCTATTTAAAAAAATTGTCGATGACGTCATATCTCGAATAATGATGACGTCACAAATATGGGTCGTATGTCAAAAAGTGCCTTTTTTAAAAACAAAATCGACGTGCCAGGGGATTTTTTCGAAAACTTCTCAATTTAAAAAATAATGAATTTATTCGTTACTTTTTGAAAGCACTGCATATGTAGGTTTGCTAGGCAGAAACTTCACTAAAACATATCATAGGAACTACATATTCAATGATAGATGATGTTCAAGCTTTCAAAACAAGTTTTATGTCTTACTTAGTCTTTTGAAAAAAAAAATTAAAATATGTTGAGACACATCTAAACGTATCAAATTTGATTAAAATTAACACATAACTTTTGAGTGCAATATTTGATTCATGTATTGTGCACGTTTTGTTTCAATATCTGATTTATCTAGAAGTTAGATAGGTATGTAACAATTTTTTGAAAGCTTTAATACCCTGTACCCCAAAAAAGTTAACTTGTAAGATTCAAAGGCACATATTTATATGAATAATAAAAAAACGTCACTATTTATAGCTTCACATCTTTGTCCAAATTAAAAAAAAGTGATTGCAACCTTTTCAAACGTAACATAACTTACATTTCATTTTGTGCTTCTTCTTTGCACATTTTTTAAACTTGGAACAATTTAAAAAATATATTGAGGAGAGACAATTTAAGAATATTTTATATACCTACTTATATAACTCCATTTTCGAGCCTTAATCGAGACTCAAAGTACCGGGCTTAAGTAATATAAATCAAGTCAATTTCAAGTCAGTCTGATTTTTTTTTTACTTTTCTTATTTCATATACTTTAGAGTTTAAAAATTCTGCCTAACATCAGCATCACTGTATAGTCGATTTATGTTATGTGTAAAATCAACATTGAAGTAAGTGATTCTCAATAAGTTTTCAATTAAAAAAGTATGTATATTCAATTAGACTTTTTCTATTCTTAATTTTTGCGTTTTGCTGCTAAAAACTATAACTTGTAAATCATTAATTATTTTTAAACTTTTTTTATTGATGGTGGATAATCTGTTTGATTCGATAAATCAATAATTAAAAGAAAATTACTGAATATAACAGACTGAATTTTTAAAAGTCTATATTTCTTTTGTCTCTACCTCTAGGAATGGACGTATCGCGGAAGGTATGGGACATTTATAGAACACAAGTAAATCACATTTGCATACAATACATTATACTTTTGTTAACAATCAACATAACAAAATTAGGTATGATCAAAATAGAATATAGGGGAGATTAGACATAAAACTAACAATTTTACTCCCAAAGCTTACTACTTTCAAACCTAACTCCTGATCATCCAATCCACTATCTATCATCCTCTTTCAAACATTCAGCAATATGAAACTGGTTTTATGTATGTAGAGAACTTGTAAATTACGAATTAAATGAATTAAATAATTTTATATTTGGGATAAAAGAACATAGTTAGCTTTAGCGTTTTGGTTGTTTTAGCCTATTTCTGCTACTATGGCTAAACACCGACTCCAAGAGACGAGCAACTCTCAACCTGGAAATTTTGTCGAACCCTCACTTTGTCGTGGGGTAGAGATTTTTTACTTGCCTAACATTGTTTGGACAAACGACCAACAGATTTACATCCTCTCCAAGGGATGATATGTCCTATACAAACATCACCTTTTGTATAGCTTCTGTGAATACCACTAGAAGACGAGCATCGAGAGCCTTTTCCGGATGGTATCCAAGTACTAACCGTAATCAGCGTTGTTTGACTTTTTATATCAATCACTTGCTCCTATAGAACATCTTCAATACCTTTAAAATACCGTAAAGTTACCAAATTTTAATACAATTTATAACAAAGAAGCAATTTAAAAACTGACACTTCAGAATGGCATAGTGCCCAAACTAAACATATCTGTACTAAGGTCAGTTTATGTAAATCGACTTATTTGGATCCGAAAAACATGTAATCGATTTTACAAAGACCTTTTAGAAGCCACCCTTCAGTTCCGTTTAAAAAATGACAATTGCTTATCACTAAGGTACGCTTTGAAAAAAAAATATCTAATTGTTAGTGCTTTTTTAGAGTAATTAAGGCCAATTTTTGTTTGGCTTTTTACGAGACACTCGATATGAGAAAATAGCCTTAAAGGACCCTTATGGGTTTGAGTTCCCGGTCGATTTGTCTGAATTTTTGATATGTTGTGTTTGATATCCTCCTGATCAAAAGTGTTCATAGGCCCAAAGTCCAGAAATGAATAGTTTTCGAGATATCAAGGACGCAAAGTGTTGAAAAGTGGAATATTTCCATGAACCTGAAATTGGAAACGAGGACGTTTGAGAATTATTATTATTCATTCTTGTATTATTTATCGGGTTTGGATTAATTTGAGTATCCATAATACATATCTGGAATGGAAATCAGTACAATTCCACCCCGAGACATCCCCAAAACAAGGGTTGAAAAACTAAAATATTTATATCTCAGGTTATTATGAGATTATCCACGTTTATTTTTTCATAAATCATTCTATACGGTTAAGAGCATATGTGTAGAAATCCTCAAGGCACTTTCATTCCGAAATATCCCTAAAATAGGGGTAGACAAACTAAAACATTTATATTTCAGGTTGTTATGAGATTATTCTACCAAATAAAAGAAAGTATTAGTAAAGACATAGAAATACGAGGTCTGTTCCGAAAATAACCGAATTTTTTTAATTACGCACTAATGGGGATATTTAGTGATGTGGGGTTGGCAGCAATGCATTGCGCATAACCTCCTATGTAACTACATTTTATTGGATTGTTGACATCTCATTTAGTTTTCGTGATATTGTTATTTGAGTACAACGTGTAATGACGATATTTGAAATGTGCGATCTGGAACAGCGAAGTAATGTAAAATATTTCATGGAACTGGCGAAAACTTTCATAGAAACGTTTCAATATTTACTGAGATGATGCTGTGATCCGTACGCAATGTTACAAATGGTTTTCACGATTTAAAAGTGGTCCTCAGTCAATTGAAGATATCCTCGACCAGGAATGCCTTCGACTTCAACTGAACCCACGTTCAGAAAGTCAAAGATGCTATGCGTGCAGATCACCGATTGACTGTCAAAGAAACTGCAGAAGAGATTAGCATCTCAATTGGGTCATGCCATAAAATTTTGACTGAAAAATTGAAGATGCATCGAGTTGCAGCAAAATTTGTTCCTCGGTTGATGACCGAATAACAGAAAGAAGATCCTGTGGACGTTTGTCGGCAATGCCTTGAACAATCTAATTACGATGAAACATTCTTTCAAATGATCATAACGGAAGACAAAAGCTCAATCGTCACAATAGATTTGCAAAGGATCTCCACGACCCAAGGAAGCACGTCTGTCTCGATCCAATAATAATAATGATTTACTTTCCATTAAAACAGTATACATGTATAGGATTCGTCACACTTAATCTAACAAAAATAAATAAATAAATAAAAAACTTCAATTTAAAAATCAAAAACTGACACTAAAAATATTTATCGAGCAAATATAGCTTTAACTTTCGTTTAAAAATATTTACAGACGAACAGTATTTAACATCGTTTGGTAATAATTAAAACATTTTGGACCCAAGCAGTAAGGAGCTATCAGGGCTAGTTTTAGTTAATCTTTGTTAATGTCAATGCTTTCCTTATTTCTATATACTGTTAAAACACAGTTTTTCACAAATATAATTTTAATAGATTTTAGAATAAAAACAACGATAACATATCTCAACACCACCTCGTCTCTAGTCGTTCTCTCTTTCTGTTCCCGTGCTCGTCCCCGGCCCGGCCGGCGCCCCACCCGTATCATGGCCGCCAAAAGTTTATAAACAATTTTGCAAAGCCTAAACTATCTTCACAATACATAAACACACAATTCGTATATAAACAAACAGGGAAAGGATAAAATGTTTAATTCCTTAAAATATTGTCTGCATGACTGTCTGAGATTTTTAACATGCAACGGATAATTCTTTTTTGAGCAATTAAAAACACTAACTCAATTAGTCGAATTTCCCCATAAACAAATTCCGTATCTAAGTCTTGAATCTACTTGGGATTAGTAAACGTGTACAAGCTGGTAAAGGTTCAGCACCGTTTGCAAATTTAAGAAAATAAACTTCAGATAATAAGTTTATCACAATGTAATTTAAAGTTCAGGAATTCGTCCAAATAAACACCTAGAAAACGTACACATCATGTGCATTAGTCACAATTTTATTATTTACTTTAATATGTATATCTTCGATAGTTCTTTGATAATTATGTATTATGTATTTTTAAAATATCAAAAGCAAATCGATACTGTTAAAGTACTGTGAGACTCTGTCTACTGCCTCTGCGGTTCTACTACTCAACGCATCTGAATCCCTTGTCGATAAAGCCACTGAAAAGTCATCAGCATAGGTTGTATAGGCGATATGTTTTGTGACATTTGATATATTGTTGACATATAAAATAGGTCCCATTATTGGGCCTTGAGGTACACCTACATCCGAATTTAAACAACTGGATTGCATAAAATCTATATATTGTTTAGATTCGACCTTTAAAGACATATACTGTTGGCGACCCCGAAGAAATGTTGATACCCAGTTAAGTGCAGTTCCTCTTATGCCATCTTTTTCCGAAATAGATAGTAATAAATTATTTCAAAGTGATGCTCACTTTTCGACTTTTATGGAATTGTACATTTTGAATTCTTGTCTCAAGGTGAAACAGTGAACCGTGTGTACTATCAAGGCGTTTTACAATGTTTACGTAAAAAAATCCGCAAAAAGAGACCTGAGTTGTGGCGAAACATCTGTTGGTTTTGTGGCAGATTACTGTGCTCCGTCATCCTCCCCACTCGCTAGATCTGACTCCTCGCGATTTTTAATTATTTCCGAAATTAAAATCAATGCTGAAGGACGCCGTTTTCAGACTATTGATGACATCAAAGCAAATTCGTCATAGACTTTAAAGGCCATTTCAAATGAAGCTGTCCAGGACTGCTTCATGAAATGGAAACATCGCTGGGAAAAGTGTGTGAATAGGACAGGGAGTACTTTAGAAGAGACAAGGACCAATAGTGTATAAAATTAATAATAAAGTTTAAAAAATATATAGTTCGGTTATTTTCTGAACAGACCCCGTATGTTGCTAATAAAATCTAAGTTTAGTTACTTTGAAAAGGAAGTAATTTAAATTTAAATAATTTCCTTAGCCTTATTTGGACATTTTAGTTTTTCTATCAATGGCATTCTCTGTGTACCGTTTGGGCGACCATAAATTAAAATTTCTCTACCAAAACTGAGATACAGATAGGCAAGCTGTTATTGTGCAATTAAGAATTAACAAGCCGAACCTCCGGTGCTGCTTATCATCATCCTAATTGTTTATGCGTATACGACGTGAGCCACTGGAGGTCCCGTAAGAACTGTATTTGTCAGGTAACGCTACGTTCGCTCACCTGGCTCGCAGTTTCGATTAATCCGAGATTTGAAGGCAAACATTCGCGAGTGCACGTCAAAAAATGCAACCGACGTCCTCGAACTCGTGACTGCTAGGGGTTAGTAGCGTGCCGTTTGGGGTTCTGTTAAACCGATTATTAAAACCGTTGGGGTAAGTTAAAAAAATATTATTTTAGTTGTTTTCTTTTGTGCTACGGATATAGGGTGTATCTCAAATACAATAGCTCAACATTTTTATAAGATCTGGGAAATATTGCAGAATTGCAACAATTACTTATTTCAAATATATTTTCAAATTTAATATGTCTAGAAAACTGAAATTTGGCATTTTCTGTTTTCTTCCATAGAATAGAACGATAAATATTCGTTTGCAAACTTTACATTTTAATAAGAATTTATTAATTCTATTTATAACTCCAGATCGTCATTTGTTTTTAGTTGGAAAATGAGTGAACTTAAAAGTAATATTTTTAAATTTATTTACTATCTGTTTATAGGTTTTTATTAATGTTACATTACATTATAGTCATTATACCAATAACATTATAAGTGAACAAGTTTAGAAACATATTGGAAACCAACGTAAAATTTTTCTCTGCTGATATATCGAATTTGGAACGCACTGTATGCAGTGACTCTTTTAGGAAAAGTGGTTTTTAATTTTTTAATTTTAATTCCAATATTTATTTTTTAATAATTAAGAATTTTGTTCTATAACACTTTTTATAAAATTAAAAATAAAGCTACTTCGCTTTTGAACTGTTTCCCATCTTTTTGTTTTTAAATTTATCGGTGGTAATGCGATTAATTGAATTTTTTTTGGCTTTTCTTAAAAAACAAACAAAGTTTAAACTCTCCGGACACCGCTATATTACACATAACTTCTATTTATTTATTTACACCATATAAGTACAGAACACTAAAAAAATTGTATTTGAGTTTTCTCAAATATAATTATTTTCTTATGGGTTTCTTATTTATTTGATACCATACAAATCAAAAACACGGAAGATGATTATTTATAAAGTTGGCACTAAATCAGCATACATATTTTGAATTAGAAATGTTGAGTAGTCTTAAATTGTCTCTTGATATTTTCAAGGCAGATGGTCCATCAAAAAATATAGCTATATTTTTATATAAACTTTTGTAGAAAAAATAAATAATATATAATAATAGTAATAAATAATAAGGAAGATATATCCCTTTAAAACGGAATGGAAAATATGTTTTTAGCGATATCTTAAAAGTTTTTCGAGATGTCTTATTCTAATTTGCAGCGTCTGGGCAATAGTTCCAAATTCCATGTAAAAAAAAAAATTGGTTTTGTGCAAATTTTAAATTTTCTTCAATCAATAATTAAAATATTTATTTCATATATATTGTTCGAAATTTCAGGGCACATACGATCGATGTTATGAAATTTTACAAAAACAAATATCTAAATTAAATAAGAACACTATTTTGTTTCTAACAGATCATTATTTTTAAAACTTTAAAAAAATTTAATTAAAATTAAGAAGTTGCTTATAAAATAATGAGTCACCAGAAAAAATTATCCTTTATGTAAGACGGGGAATTTGAATAAATGTATACAAGTCACGTGACCCCCGAGCAACCCAACATTACACGACTTGACATCACCAATATTAATAATATCTACATTTACAGTGAACAGCAGCAAAAAATAGAACCTCGTGAAACACCAATCACAGCCGATGAAATAGAATGTTGTGTTTTAACGTAATCTCGATTTTATTGTTTTAATAATTTTTAATTTTACCGGAATTTAATTGCCAACATGAAGGAAATAAAATAACTTTCCTAAAGTTAACTGGCAACTGGTCACGTGCTTGTAATCATTTATGAAGACTGTATGATCCAGATGCTCCAAATCTATGTTTAAAATGTGGATAAGATATCTCAAAGGGCTTTTAAGATATTGCAAAAAATCTACTATGCCCTTTAAAGGGATATATCTCCCTTAGTTTTCATTTATGGAAAAAAATGTGGTCATACCCGCCCTAGTTTACACGTCATGGGTTATAACCTGGATCAACTAATACCCTCAAATAATCATGTTCCTTAGTAGTAACTTATCGTCCAAAACTTATCCCTCTTCTTCAAAGCAGTTGGGGCAAAAACCCATTTATTTAAAGTCATCTTCAAACGCGTCTACCTCCCGTAGGATGGATTTGCGGACCCATGTTTATATGAAATTTTTGTCTTATTTTGAGTCGACAGATCTACCCTCAAAGGGAAGTAAGTACCACTATTTCCGAAGATCCTTTATAATAGGGAACTATTATTTTTTTAATGTTGTTATATTATCAATTTTAATTTTAATGTATTTACATTTAAATATCTTTTAATAACATTGTGAACAAATTACCTACCTAATATCTGGAAATAATAAACAGTTTTTTAATGCATCCATGTTCAATAGTTTTTACATCAAATTTTCTCAAAAATTAAGTAAGTTATGTCATATCGAGGATTATTCTATTATCTCATATTTTCACATAAGAGTGTAGGTTTTTATTCGTGTCTAAACCAAACTGTACTTAAATACCTTCATTTACTCAAAGATATTGGTATTAATAATTAATGCTTTCATGGGAAAATGTAGATATAAATAAATTAAAATATGAAAGCGTATTTATGATTAAAATGAAGTTTTTATTAAACTTTAAAAAAATATGTGGACGTTTAAAATAATTTAATCGGCGAATTATATACAAAAAGATTCCTTCTTAACCTGTTCAGATTTACTTGTCCAGACTACAAAAAAACTGAAGTCAATATTGAACATTTTTTAATGAAACCACCTGAGCGTGGAAGCGCACATTCATTCGATAAATCAGCTAAATTACATCAAGAAGTGAAAATAAAACAGTAAAAAGTTACAATGACTCGAACGTACGATGTACTTCGGTAATTGTGAAGATAACACCACAATGAAGAAAGTTTCCTTTTTTTGTTTTCGCTTTAATTAACTAACAATTCGTTACAATTAGCGATTGTTGCGTTCACTTTTATATACATTTTTTAAATAATTTATAAAGTTGCTTAAATTAATTATGAAATCAGCACGTCTCGATAATAATTACAAATTGCATGCTGTTCTACAAATTACTTAATTATCATATGCAGTGTTTATATTGTTTAATTGCTTTTAATCAAGGTATCACTTCCTTTTTACAACACGTTATATAACATGCTAAAGCAATTGTTTACAAAAACATTATGAGGCGCCTATATTAATAAATGTGATAAAAAAATTATTCTGCATAAGTGTCTTTTATTTTGACAAAGATAGTTGAAATTATCATCAAATATTATTTGACATCCTAGACATATTGCTTGTCTAATAGATTGCTAGAGCCAAATACCTTTTGAAGTGGTATCATTTCAAAACTGAAGAGTTTGGTGCAAAAATTGGATAAGTTCATATTTTAAATGTTGTGACAATACTGGAAAAACTACTAAGTAACTATAGGTACATTAATTAAAGTACTGGCTTCTTTTTGATTTAATTAAATATCTGTTAATTACGAAGATAGAAAATAAATACATATTAGAGTGATTTATCTTTGAATATGCTTTACAATTTTGCAAAATATTTTTGAAAACTAGGAACATAGACTTGATAGATTTTTGTACCAAATTTTCTACTATTTTCTATTTATTTGAAAAAATAACATAATAGTAAGACCACATAATCTACGAATTTAATTCATAGTGTGCTAAAACGCTGTTTTTATTGTTATTGTAAACAGTTACTTCTAAAAATTCTTTTAAAGCAAATATTTACATCTATAAGTAGACATATTTTTCTGTTAATCATGTGCTAGAGCAGAACTGAATAAAATCTTATCTCAACATGAAGTACATACGAAGCCTGTTAAGAAAATAACCGAACTTTATTTTTTAAACTTTATTATTAATTTTATACATTATTAGTCTTTGTCTCCTTCAAAGTACTCCCCTCTCCTATTCACACACTATTCCCAGCGGTGTTTCTATTTCGCGAAGCAGTCCTGGATAGCTTCATTTGAAATCTCCTTTAAAGTCTGTGACAAATTTTCTTTGATGTCATCAACAGTCTTTCAGCACTGATTTTTTAATTTTGGAAATAAGAAAACATCTCAATGAGCCAGGCCTGGCAAATAGGGAGGGTGAGGCAGAAGATTTCAAAATGCACAATTCCATTAAAGTCGAAAAAACCAGTAAGCATCATTGGATCGAGACTGACATGCTTTCTTGGGGCGTGGACATTCTTTGCCAATGCATTGTGATGAACTTTTATCTCAATGTCGTAGCCGTAACTCAGCTTTCGTCTCCCGTTATGATCCTTTTAATGAATGTTTCATCGTCATTGGATTGTTCAGGAAGTTGCCGACAAACGTCCACACGATTTTCTTTCTGTCGTTCGGTCATCAAACGAGGAACAATTTTGCTACAACTCGATGCATTGTCATTTTGTCTACTTTGTTGCGACAGAGCACAATTTGGAAATATTCACAGACTGGAACTAGATCTCTGAGCTAGTTCGGTACATTTCTATATGTCACACGAGAAGTGATGTGATGATGATGGCACATTATCCCTGAATATAGTTTCCATAACGAAGTACCCCGAATTTCTCTTGACCAGCAGTATCCCAGACGTTGAGACGAATGGGACCTCGATTAGTGTGGAACACTAAGGCGCGAACTTCGACACCTAAAGTGGCTACATAGTTGTTTTCGAATTCACCAGCCAAATGGCGTTTTACGAATGTGGGTTTTCCAGTATTTCCATCTCCGACTAGCACACACTTAAATGTGGACATTACTTGTTCTCCAGCCATGGTCAATTTTTCAGTTAAAATTCATGGTATGACCCAATTGACTGACAGTCAATCGGCAATTTGCATCCACCAGATCTTTAACTTTCTGAACGTGGAAGTTCATCAGTTGAATTCGAAGACCTTCCTGGACGAGGACCATCTTCAGTTGACTGACCGCCACTTTTAAATCGTGAAAACAATTCGTAGTATTGAGAACGATGCAGAGCAACATCTCCGTAAGCTTGTTTCTAAAGTTGAAACGTTTTCGTGAAAGTTTCCCCCAGTTTCAAGCAAAATTTTACGTTGCGCGGTTGTTTCAG